TAAATCCCTCGGAATTTTCTCCTAGGTGATAGCCGTGCCTTTTGTTCTAATGAGGTGACTCTTGGTAGGCTTCTAGATGGTAGCTGGTCATCAGAAAGACTAAGTCACAATCAGAAGCTTGGAACTTTCAGCCACACCCCCATTCTCCAGAGGGACTGGAAATGGACTTAATGAGTGATCATGCCTATGTGATGAAGCCTCTATAAAAATCCCCAAAGGGGCTTCCCTGGTGGCGCAGTGGTTGAGAGACCGCCTGCCGATGCAGGGGACACGGGTTCGTGCCCCGGTCCGGGAGGATCCCGCATACCGCGGAGCGGCTGGGCCCGTGGGCCATGGCCGCTGAGCCTGCGCGTCTGGAGCCTGTGCTCTGCAACGGGAGAGGCCACAGCAGTGAGAGGCCCGCGTACCGCAAAAAAAAAAATCCCCAAAGTGCAGAGTTCAGAGAGCTTCTAGGTTGGTGACACCTGTAGGTGCTGGTAGCGTGGTGCACCTGGGGATGGCATAGAAGCTGTGTGCACCTTCCCACATACCTTGTCCTGTGCATCCCTTCCATCTGGATGTGCATCTGTATCCTTTATCACATCCCTTTAGATAAACTGGTAAACAGCAAACTGTTTTCCTGAGTTCCGTGAGCCATCCTAGTAAATTGATCACCTGAGCAAGGGGTCATGGGAACCTCTGCTTTATAGCCAGTGGTTTAGAAGCATGGGTAACAACCTGGAATTTGATTGGTGTCTGAAGTAGGAGGGAGGGGCAGGCTCATAGAACTGAACCCTTAACCTGTGGCCTCTGACACAATCTCCAGGTGGACTGCGTCAGAATTGTGTTAACTTGTAGGATACCCAGCTGGTGTCCCAGAGAAATGCTTGTTGTGGAGAAAACCTCACACATATCTGATGTCAGAAGTGCTGTGAGTGTGGCAATAGTGTGAGAGTAAAGGAAAGACACACAGGAAGAAGACTGAGTTTTTCTAACATAAGAAGCAATAATACCGCGTGGCATATGCTAACATAGATATACAAGTTGCAAAGAGAAGGAATGAGAAGAATCATTAACGTCGTGGGGGGCAGCCTTCTAAAATGACTCCCAGTGATCCCCCACCTCCTGGTATTTATTCATGTCCTCGTATAATCCCCTCCTCTTAAGTGTGAGGTGGGCATAGTAGTTTGCTTATAATGAATAGAATATGGCAAAAGTAATAGGATATCACTTCCAAGATTAGGTGTAAAAGATGATTTCATCTTACTAGCACACTCTCTGACTCTTCAGCCTTGCTGGCTGTGATGAAGCAAGTTGCCATTCTGTGAGCTGCCCCAATAGCGAGTTCCACATGGGAAAGTGCCGAGGGCAGCCTTTGGCCAATAGCAAACAAGGAACTAAATCCTGCCAACAACCATGTGAATGAACTCGAAAGTGATTCCTCCCATAGAAGAGCCTTGAGAAGAATACAGCCCTGGCTGACACTTTGACTGCAGCTCTGTGAAAGCCCTGAAGCAGAGGGCCTGGTTGGCCATACCCAGATTCCTGACCCACAACAACTCCAGATAATAAGTGTTATTATAAGCCGTTAAGGTTAGGGGTAATTTGTTATGCAGCAACAGATAACGAATACAATAAGGAAGAAAAGCAAAGATGATTGAAACAGAAGGAACAGCACTTGCAAAGATTAGAGGGCATAACACTGATTACATTCTGGAATGGCAAATATTCTTGTGTAGTTGCATCATGAAGTATGTTTGCAGGAATGACTGGAGATAAGATTTGAGATAAGGATTCGAGGCCAAATTGTAAAATGTGTTCAAGAATCATTTGTTTTTGTCAGTGTTCCCTCGCAGCAAACAGAAACCTCTCCAACTATTTGAAACAGAAAAACCTTAACAAGGGGAATTAGGTATTTACAACATTGTTGGAAGGGCTTAGAAACTAAGTCTGAAAGCTACTACGACTGTAGTTGCCTCTCACCACCCATGAAGCTAGGCCAGCTTCTGGAACTTTGCCACAGAAAAGCCCAGTATCTCCACGATCATGCTTGCCTGTGGCAATAGCTGAAGTAGTGTAAAGCTGGTCTCTCCTTCCTTCTGCTGTCTAACTCCTGGATCATTGTATAGTACCAGAAAGTAAGGAAGTGCCCAATAAAAACACAATGATAGGGGTAGGTCAAAGGGACACAGGAGCAAATGGAAAGAGTTCCCAATGGTCAAAGCTGGAGCAATTTGAGCAAAAAAAAAAAAAAGAAAAAATTACATAATGATAGATTATACTAAAGTAGAAAATAAATATTCATGAGTCCATACTGATAGAAATAAGTGATTGAATATATTAATGGAGATTAATAAATCAATATCATGTGCAAGAGAATGCCAACTAACTTATGTAGACATTCCACTTTCAAGGAGGCAGAACATAACTCCCCTACTGAAGTATGGGCTATACGTTGTGACTTCTTTCCAAAGAGTACAGTGTGGAAAGAGGGAAAATAGAGCGCTCCCAGCTGACTTCAGTATTATTAAAATGCTCTGAGCTCAAACCTGACCTTGCATGTAGACTATTATAGGGTAAACAACTAAATTTTATTTACATTTAACTAGGAGATTGAACTGACAAATAATTGCTTTTCTTCCTGTTTGGAGACTTAAACGTTTTCTTTTTTAGTGTGTGAGTGACCCTCCTGTTCCTTAGGAAGAATTTATTTACTTGCATAAACCTGTTCTTCCCCAGAGCAACTGATTTTGCTTTGGGCACTAGGTAAAGGTCTAGAGAAGGGCAATAAAATGTAAAATTCTTTGGCTTGAAAGTCAATATGATTCAATTTTGTTCAAGCCAATGGACATTTAGAAACTCCCACTATATGCAAGTATGTGCTGGGTCTCAAGCCATCTGCTTGAATCCTGCTTTCTGCCCTTGGAAATCAGCTTGTCTTTACTGGACCCACATTGGCATGCTAATATCTGACAGTTGGCCTGGACTTTATAAAAAGCATGCAATTTTACAAGGGACTCCTTCCCAACACAGAGTACCTTTGTCCAAAGGAGTGGATCTGTAATGTTTGAGCCAGAGACACAGGCATAGAGAAGAGTCATTTCTGGGCAGGGAAATCATTTGCACCACCTGCAAATATAATCACATGGCTGTCTACCTGCCTCGTTTGAAGACTGGCTTTGGTAGGCTGCATTGTAGGTCTGACCTGGGATGGCCCCTCATATTCTTCCAATTTCTCTTTGTTCAATGGAGAGTAAAGAGAATCTGACTAGGAAGAAGGAAACTTCTAGAACAGGCTCTACTTCTAGCTGTCTGTGACACTGGGCTCCATTTTTTTTAGCTAAGAAAAGAGAGTTTAGAGGAGCTTATCTTGGGTCCTTCTGAGCCTTACATTTTCTGATCATGTGAGCTGGATCAGGTAAGTCTTTGCCAAGGTGTGTCTGCCTCAGGGAGGGAGAAGTTCTCAAAGTTTTTTAGTGGTTCTCTTTTTCCCTTGTTATTGCAATGGCTTTGAAGAAAAATTCCCTGAAGTTGGGACAAGAGTCCTGAGTTGTCTTTCTTATTTTGCCTCTGTGGTTTTTGGCAAGTGACTGATTTCAAGCTTGCATATTGGAATGGTTTACATCCCTACATTGTCATTTGCAAGGAAAGCCTGGTATTGTAGGGAAAGGAGTGTGGGCTCTGTGGTCATTCTGACCTGGGATTGAATCCTACCTTTATCACTTAACTAGACATGTGACCTCAGAAAAGTGACTTAACTCCTCTAAAAATCCAACTTTCTAATTAATAAAAAATGACAGTAATAATCCTTCTCAAGGAAGATGTGGCAGTTAAACAGAACAACATGCGAAAATGTCACTTAGTAGGTGCTCAATAAGTGATAGTTTCCTCCCTCCCTCCCCCCCTTCCTTCCTTCCTTCCTTTTTTCCATACTGATGGAAGTTTTACATTTTCGTCAGTATTTTTGCAATTGACATTTGGTCTATCTAGTGATTATATGTGGCTAGGTAGGGTTCTTCTCTTTCCTCCTTTCTCCTCCTGAGTAGGGCATATTCTTGTCTAAATTAACAGAAGATGATAGTAGCCCAATATATGGTAGATGCTCACGGATGGGAGACCTAGTGTGGAAGTTCTGATTGTTTTCCAGTTAGCAGACACAGAAGACCACTATTTAGGCTCTTTCCCTTTCTTCTTCACTCCCTGAGAACTGGTTGAGGCTGATAAAGCTTAAGGACTGACAAATCAGAGTTTTAAACTCATAGACCTCAGGGCCAGGTAGGTTGTAAATGAGTGGAATGGGCCGGGTGTGGGAGAAAAAGGCAATAGTACTATAAAATCCATAGGAAATGGTACCTTTACTTTGGTGTGAGGTTGCTATAGAGAGTGGTGAGGACTGTGGTGAGGTGGAGAAAGCATCTCCCATTTAAAGGGGGCAGCCACTGCTCAGTATTAATAATTATGGCTATGAGGGAATATGGGTTCTTTAGTTCCAGATCTTGCCAGTTTTCAAGGGAACGGAAATACAAATATATTAATTCTCTTGATATTTAATTCTTGGCAATTAAGCCAAATTTTAATATTTGTGGGACAACCATAAAAGACTATGCCAACAGGTTATGGCCTCTGAGTTGAAAGGATCATGGAATTGTGGGGTTACTGGTGAGGGGAAGAAGATATTAGCAATCTCAGAGAGAAAGACTAGAGAGAGGGGGAGAGAAAGTTAGAGAAACAGGACAAAGGAGCTATCTGAATCTCCAGCTTCCTGTGAACTCTGGAACAGAATGGATTGTAGAACCTGAATCCAAAGTAAAGGACTAATTTATGTGTGTATACTTGACCTACTTAAAATAAGACCATCTGAATCAAGAAGAGCCTCACATAGTGATATATATACTCTTGGGTTTACAAATGTATTTCAGCTACCAAAATTGTCTCTCTTACTTTTGCAAACAACAGATCACTTCAATTTTGCATGAAAGGTATAATGCATCTATGTAAATAAGAGACCAAAGGAATTTTCTAAATGCTTTTATTTTTTCAGCACAAATATTTCTGTACCTCTCAGACTCCTTTTGCTGGAAAAAGGAGAGCTAGTGATACATTTGGTAATGACATCTAAAAATGTATTTTGGTGTATAGAGGTAATGATGTACTTTTAAGGTATGTTAATAATAAATTAAGGCTATAATTGTTGCCATATTCACGAGAAAATAATGAGTAGATTAGTCTCAGCAAAAAAATAATTGGTTTTGGAAGTGGAAAGCTGGGGATATCAACACTGAAAAAAATTAGCTTCATACATTCTACTATATGCAATTTTTTATTAATAATCTTCAATTGTAGAATGTAATAACTTGCACAGTACCTGACATATAGTAGGCATTCAGCAAATGTTTACTAAATTTTACTGCTTTTTAACACAGTAATTTTATTCAGTAATAATTTCTATAACTTGATAAAAATGGAAATTTTTAAGAGATTTTTTTTTAGGGGAGAAAAGAATATACTTTCTTTTCCCTAGAAAGTATGTTCTTCTAGAGAAAATAGCAGCAGCAGGAGAGAGAGAGAAAAGTAAGTGTGTATAAGTTCTAAAAAGTGATTCCAACTAGAATTATTCAGAGATGAACACTTTGACCCTGTCTGTATTTACAGTCCCTACTGACAAATGCTGTTAATATCCTCAACCTTATTCTTCTTCTCTATTTATTTTGGTTTTACAGAGATTAGGTCTCAAGTCACGGGAATCTCCATGTCCTTCAGTTGCTAAACTTTTCCTTCCTTCTTTTTCTCTTGCCTGGCTCAGAAGGACATGCCAGATGGTATAAGTGTTTCCTTTTCAGAGCTGAAGAAAGGATCTGGGCTGTAGAGTCAATCAATAGACAAAGCCTTGATCTCAATGGTTTCTTGGCTCTCAGCTCACCTATTCTCAGGCAGCCTAAAGGCCTCTTGACAAACATGTTCTGATTAGCTGTTTGAGGTCCAGGTGCTTTGCACAAGCTCCTTTCTCCCACCGGGATATTATTAGCACATAACCAGGCTAGAAAGGTTGTGGGAAGCTTTGGAGGTAGGAGGGTAGGATCCAGAAAGGATTGCAATAAGGAAAAGGGAATTCCCTTTAGTGAACTCCAGAGTCCAAAGGTAGCCCTGAGCTGACTCTAGTTAGGGACCAAGGGTAGACTTGCTTGTTTGGTTCTTTGGACCTTTTATAGGCACCCCATCTGGGACCAGGATGTGTATCAGGAAGGAAAACAACCTCAGGTGTGTCCTCTTATTTCTTTCAGCTTCCATCTAAACTTCAGCTTCCAGGCATCGCACTGTGGTTTTGGGTTGACTCTTGGGCTCCTCGGGTTTTTTATCCATTTTCTTTGATTCCTCATTAGGGTTGCTATCATCGGCCTTCTCCTCCTTCACTACTTTAGTTTCTATCATTTCCTTCTGCTGGTTCTTGTTTGTAAAAGGGAAGGCCTTCACATACCTGTAGGCATAAACACAAAATTAAAGTGAGAGACTTCTACGTAACACATAGAACAACAGATAATGTTTTGTGATGGCCCATATTGGCATAGCACACTGGGTACTTTTATTTCAGAGAGATGCTAACACATGCACCCTCAAATATTTTAACCCATCCCCACCTGGGTGGATTCATTTAGATAGGACAGTAAGTTTGCAGGCAAAACTTTAGGCTGGCCTTAACACCCTCTCATCAAAAACAAAGAATTGAAAATCAAATAAAGCATATCCATTTCTCCCTAGATGTCAATCTTTTCTTTTTATTTCTTGATATTCAAAGGGACAGCCATTGACCTATATCTGAAGGCCGGATAACATACAAGTGCTGAAATAATAGGAAAAGTTGGGGTGGTAGGGAGGACAGGTGAGGTGAGGAAGAACATTTACAGTATAAGAGGATTACCATCTCCATCTGGACGAAGGAAATGTCGATAAAAACCCTGGATAAACACAAGATATGGATGTGACAAAGATGACGAGACTAACCATGTGCCAACAATCCCACCTTTTGATGTAGCAAACCGCGAGGCCAGCTGCAGCAGCAAAGAAGAGGAGTGCAAGCACCAGCAGGGTCGTGGGAACACCTGGGGGAGACAGAGACCGCGCCTTGTCCCTCCATGTAGACATTACTGTGCACCGCTCTTCTAATGACTCATCCTTACACGTGATGGAGACCACAGAGCAGAAGAGCCTTCTCTGTGACCACACAGGGGCCACTTAGGGCGTTGGGCCCACATGAGCTTCTTTGCTTCCTGCCTATAGAATCCTTGGCCTTGCCTCATGCTCTCCCTACTCTATAAGTTGCAATATGACAGAGTCCATTTCCTCTCTGTGGCCCTGAGGTGACAAGTTTGGAGCAAATCAAGTGTAAGACCCTTTAAATAGGAAAACTAACTTGCTAATCATAGGCATTTCAGGTGTGTATATGTACTTTAAAAACTTCTGCACATGAATAGATAGTAATTTATTCTGAAAAGTCTTTGCGTTTTAAAAGTGAAGCTATTTTAGACTCACGATTTTTAGTTTAATCATTAAGGTTCTTTAGAGACCTCAAGTTCTAGGACTTTATGAAATTTGAATTTGCATTAAGCTTTTATCTGTATTTGTCAGGTCCTGAGTGCCCAATCTGGATACAGGCTAGTTTCTATGTATTGTCTGCTACACACACACACACACACACACACACACACACACACACACACACACTCAAACACATACACATAATGCAGACAGAAAGTTTTTACCTCCAAACCCAACAGGTTCATTCTTGAATGCCGCTTTATTTTCAATATACGATTCAGTTTCTGTAGATATGGTGCTCGTTTCCATAAAAGCTTCCGTTATGCAAATTAATTTTCTTTTCCGTGGAATAGAAGTGGAAGCCAGAGCAGGAGCCACAGTGGGTGTAATAGACTCAGGTCCATCAGTAGACATCGCTGAGTGTGTACTCTCACCGACAATCATTTCTGTTGTGTATGTTGCAGTTTCCGTGTTGAATATGGGATAATCGGTGGTGATAATTTCTGGAAAGCATGAGTTAACCCAGGTATCTGTCCGGGGAGGGAAAAGTGAAATAAGAAAGAAGTATTGCAATAGCCTCCTAATGGGTCTGCCTGTCTCTAGTCTTACTCTCCTCCGATCCCTTTATACTGCTGCTGGAATGGTCTTATAAAAATGTAAAGATAATCATATCACTTCCTCCTTTAGAATCCTTCCCTGACTGCCTGTACTGCACAGCCTATAAGGCCTTCCATGATCTGGCCCCTGCTGACACGGCCAGCCTCACCTGATCGGTCTTTCTCTCGTTCCCCCTGCCGTGCTAGAATTCCTTCAGTTCTTTGATATGCTTTCTCTAACATCCAAACCTTTGACCTGAATGCTTTCTTCACTTGTAAGACTCTTTGCCCCTCTTTATTAACTCCTCCTTGTCCCTCAGGTCTCAGACTGAATATCTCTTTCTTAGGCAGACTTGAAGACCAGATTAGATCCCTAGACATACATTCTTGTACCTCCTTGTACTTCCCTTGTCATGATTCTCACTACACTGCTCCCCACTGGACTGTGAGCTCCCTGGAAGCAGGATTCCTGTCTGTCTTGGTCATCATGGTATGTGCAATGTGGCGGGCACATAGTACATGCTCAATACTTGATGTCTAAAGGAAGGAAGGAAAAGTGAAATGAAGAAAGGAGTAGATGGGGAGACCAAATATACACACATGACACCACTTGAGGACAGAGATCTACTAAAACCAGATTTCTCTGTGTTCATCAAAAAAAAAAGTTTTTTTTAAGGGGGTGGGAGACAGGGGAGGGATGTAGGTTTGCTCTCCAATCTGTTGAATGTGGTAGAGAGGAAACTAATATTTGTTGAACATCTTGCTCTGAGTCAACCATGGCACTTCATTAAACAATTTTATAAAACCCTCATTTATACAGGAAGAAACCGAAATTCAGAGAAATTGAATAACTTGCCTAAAATCACATAGCCAGTAAATGGCAGAGCCATGCATTATATTACAATATGCATTTGCATCTCTTTTAAATCTCTCGTTATTTGTGATAGTGGGTAGCATCAGCTGGAATGTTAGCCATGAAGAAGAAGTTATTCTATTCTTTTTGAAAATTAAGTAAAAGTTACCAACCAAGGCCATGGTAAACATGATAAAACATTTTGACCCCACATGCATTCAGTCAATATTTTATACTATTCACTTCATTTCTATTCAAATAGGCATCATCCTTGACCTCTGCCCTAGACTTTGGAAGGCAGCTATGCTCACCACTATACCACCAATGCCGCCCTGGATTTTTAGCTACGTTTCCCGTTCTTAAGCAGGTGCTATATACTTCCTTCAAAAAAATGAACATCTTTTTTAATATCAGGGGAAAAGTATACTGAACACGATATACTGTGCTGGGAACTGAGAATACAGAGACAAATAAGGGATGATTCCTGTTTCCAAGAGGACAGAAGTATTTTGATGAGGCTAGGGGGCGATAACTGGGAATTCACAGAGGAGACGGCATAAGCAAGATGTGGAGGGTTAATGCACTCATTCAACAAATATTTATTGAGCTCCAACTCTGTGCCAGGTGCTGTGCTAGATGCTAGGGATGTGGTGCAAATAAGACCAAGTCCTTGCTCATAAGGGCTTATATGTTATTGGAAAGAAGGATAGAGATAATAAAATTTTTTTAAAAAGCCAGAAATTTCGGAGGATGATAAATGTTGAGAAGATAATTAAACAGGATAAGGATCAAACTGGAAGGGGCAGGAATGGGGACAGATACTTTGGATAAGGTGATAAGAGTAAGTCTCTTTGGGGAGGTGATACTTAAGCTGAAACCTGAATGATGAAAAGTACCAAGTCATTGAAGATCTAGGGCAAAAGCATTCCAAGTAAAGAGAACAGGAAGTTCAAGAGCCTGAATTTGAATAATCTCAGCATGTTTGATGACTAGAATGCTGGTATGGCTGGAATAGAGCTCCAGGTCATCTAGTATGGAAGAGGGAATAGGATATCCCAGTCAATAAGAACAGCGTGACCCAAGAATCCAGATGTTTGAAAGTGTAGGTATGTCAGAAAATGACAAGGAGCACAATGTGGCTGGCGTGTAGGGTGTGTGTATGATGGGGAGCATAAAAAACTGCAAGTAGGAGATGAGACTGGGAAGATAGGTCGGAGCCAGTATATCAAGAGTCATAATTGCCATGGTAAAGAATTTGGAATTTATTCTTTAGGAGAAGGAATTTTCAACTGGGGGCAGCAGACCTTCCAACTGATACACAGAAGTTCTCATATGTGCCCAGTTCACATCAGATTCTCTGATAGGAAGCCACCCAAGGCTGTGCAGAAGAGGAGGGACGTAATCATCAGAGGAGGTGTGTGGAGAATGAAATAGAGATGGGAGAAAGGGCAACCAGGAGCCAAGAAGGAGACTATTGCAATTGCACAGAAATGGGAGAACGCGGAACTATCTGGAATTCTAAAACTTATATCTCAGAGATCTTCTAGAGAAAAGTGGTTCTCACCTCTGGCTGCAGGTTAGAATCATCTGGGGAACTTTAAAAAAATACTCATGTGAAGGACCCCCCCTGGGCCTGGTATATTACTGACGTGTGGTCTTCACCAGGGAAGGTGACGTGGAAGTGGCAGGGCCCGAGGTTTAAATCCTGGCTCTGTCCCTTACTGACTGTTGCCGCAGCAAATCACCCTCTAAGCATCAGCTACTTCTCTTGGAAAGTGGAAGTGGTACACTTGTATCATTTCACTGAGGATTAACGAGACAGTAAATGTGTAGGGCCTAGCAGAATCTATGGCATAATCTGTAATATCTGTAAGAATTAGTTTCCTTTGCCTCTCTGTTCATTAAGTGTAGCCAGGAAGGCCGCCGTGTGAGGGAGCAACGGCAATCTGATCCCGTGGTCCCTTACTGGTCGGGGGCACAATGTGTCTCACCTGGAAGCGTTAGGACCTGGCTCTCCTTCCCTCCAAACTACAAATATAATTTCTCTAGAATGTGCCAAATGCTTTGATAGATATTAAACACAGTGTGGTTGGTGTCCAAGAGGAAAGATAGGAGTCAGGGGTATAGAAAGGCTGCCTGAAGAAGACGGTACTTGAGACTTGAATAAAGAATACAAGTTAGCCAGGTGATGAAGAGGACGGACATTGTGGCAGAGGGAACAACATGAAACAGGTGGTGCACGCCGAGCATTAGAAACACTTTGGTCTGATTCCCAAAGCTCACAAAGATAGCAGTAAGAAAGACAATTAGGATAAGGTTTGGGGTCAGGTTTGGGGTTACTGGGATCCTCAGAGCTCACAAGATAGCAATAAAAAAGAAAGTTACAAAAACAAAGAAGCATAGGGTAAGTCTAGGTTAGTGTGACGATGAGGGCTAGGGTAACTCTGTTCCTCACAAAGATGGCAAACAGAAGCAGGTGAACCTAATTTATTTCAAAATGATAACATAACCACACAGGGTAGCAAATTTTCTCAAGTCACTTTTGTGCACAATTCTCTGACAGTACATCCTTAGAGGGATGTCTTCTGAGGACTAAAAGAAGTGCAAAGGAATTGGAAATTCCATTCAGTAGGTTTATTATTCTCAATAATGCTGTTTTTATAATTTTGAAATTATTGCAGGATAAGAAAATATATTATTTATTGGGAACAAGAATTTTCCATATGAGAGAAAAAGTACAGAACAAAGTAAACAAAAAGTATAGAACAAAGTAAACAAAGAAAAAACTTGAATTGTTAAATTTGAGTTGGAAATATCAATGCAAATGCAATATATATATGTATATTTTTTTCCTAGCTGCCCACTAAAAAGGACTGAGAAGCAATGGAAATGAGAGTAGTAATGAGGACAACTTGCATGCAGATCTTCGTTTCGAATCAACATTCTCTACTAAAAAGAACCAAGGCCCCTTGGAGAAATAAATGGCTGATTCCATGTGTGGGATAAAGAAAGTACAAAGTGAGCCTGGGACATGTTATCATGCCAGAAAGCAATGACTTGCTCAAATACTAATGGGATGAAAACAAAAGTCAACTAGAAGGGGCTCCCACTCGCCAAATTTCAGACAATTTGAGCATCAAAAAGAATAATAATTGTAAAATTGATTATAACATATTGAACACAGAGTAAGTAAAATGCTACATGTCCATGGTAGTATAAAGGGGAGGGAGGACATGTGTGTGTGTGTGTGTGTGTGTGTGTGAGAGAGAGAGAGAGACAGAGACAGAGACAGAGAGAGACAGAGAGAGACAGAGAGAGAGAGATTCATCTTTATCAAAGAATGCCAGCTAACAAACGTAGAAGGAAGGATAGATGTAGAAAATTATCATTTTGCGGTCCTGCATATAATAATCGATTCCAGCTAGGATCATCAATATCTGTATGAACTATCAGGTAAAAGGTGATTGGGGGTCAGACTATTTGCATGGCGCCAAAATGTCACACTATAGGTTACCTCCTCATTGCAAAGGGGAAAACACATCTGAGTTCATTAGAGAGGTCTGGCAGTCACCGTCTTATTCAAATGATCAAAGTCAGCATGCAATAGGGGGACATACTTACATTAAGGGCCTTTTGCTGGGATATGATCTAAAGTACACAATATCATCTATCCAGTATTTTTGCCAAACCTAGTGAACATGAATCTAATCAAGCCTCTACACCTAACTTTAAGTATATAGGAAGCGCAGGGAATGGAAATACAAGTTAAATGAAACCACGAGGAAGCATGCAAATCCAAGTCATCTCCCCTGACTCCTTTTCATTTAGTCCATAGGGCTGGGTGGCCTATCATTGCACTGACAGCTGGCAGGAAGGCCAGGAAGTTAAAAGGCAGGCCATTTGACCGGCATGGACTGGCCGTCAGATGAGCAAGCGTGCAAACCACCAATTCTGCAGCCAAAAGTGATAGGCGGCAGAGGCGAGGGGAGGAGGATGGTGAAAAAAATATGGGAAAAAGCTTATGTTCCAGTCTTCACTCGGCCTCTAGCTGACTGTAAGACTTTGAATAAGGCAAACCTCCATTCTGAGCTACAGTCGTTTCATCCATGAAGTGAGTGAAGTGGACAAAGTCTCTTTCACGGCCCTTCCTGGGCCAAGGTTCCCTGGTTCACAGAATGGCTTGGACCTTATGCTGCCTTTGGGCAACAGAACACTGCTGGTGCACTTTTATCTCTTGGATCTTAGAGAATGACCACTGACCCATCTGGCCTTTAGAAGGTCAGATTTATGAGTATGTGTGAAGAGTAATAAATCAGACAGAGGTTCTTATGATAAAGTGAGAACAAGTGTTTAGTCAAAGACAAACTTTCTGAGAAGTTACTTAGGTAAAGCACTTGGGCTAAGGCCTCCAAGGTCTCCCAAGAAGGTTAAAGGGATGACCGTGAGCAAATCAGTTCTATTTTCTTGCTTTAATTCCTTCCTTCATAAAATGAAAATTGGGTCTTGTTCTTTAAAACATCTAATATAGCATCTGAATTTCCACTCCTGTAAAGGAATGTGGGATAAAGGAAAGAGATCTATGTGTGAATCTTCATAGTAAGTAGACCTTAGACGAATGTACTTATGTCCTCTGCAAAATAGGGATGATAAAGCACACCTCCTACGGAGATTGTCAAGGTTCAGTGAGATAACTTAGTACCTTGCTTTGTCCATAGTGGATGTTTCCTTCCCTTCGTCCTGTTTATCTTGTAGGATGAAGGCGGGGTGGGTAATGGAGCCTACAGGGATGCCCTCTCCCTATGTTGCCAATCTGTCATATTTTCTCTAACTTTTTGCTCTGAGAGGGACAACTCTACCCTGGTCAAAGAGGCAGTCTTGGGAGGATTCAGTGGCCATCACCATGATTGCTTCTGCTACTGCTCAGGGTTACTCTTCTCAGAATGGTTATAGAGCTATTGAAATCCAGACAAAACATGCCACGTGGAGAGGCTGCAGATCTGACTCACCAGATGAGTTGTAACAGTAGGCCCTGTGCCGCTGGTTGAGTGAACTTCTCCAAATCAGGACGCCCACCCCGTTCTTCCCACACTTGGGGTTCTGGATAATCCGAGGGATGACCACGAACTGATTTTTAACCCATCCATAGCTGTAACAGAATACACATGACCTGAGTGGATGCATTGATCTCTGTTGCTGAACAAGAGCACAGAGCCAAAAGAGCTCCCACAGTGTTTGTGAATCCAGCTGTTTCTCACCTGCAGGTCTCAAAGCCAGATTTCCATGCTGCTTCAACCTGCTCTTTGCTGGCCAGAGTCAGTCCTACGAGCCTACAGGCCTCCTGGGCTTCTGTGAAATTCAGTTGCGGGTGTGTCCTTTTGTTCACAAGAGTGACCCCCATGATTCTGCATGGTCCTGAGATGGAAAGCTCTGCAAAGGAATCACATAGGCCCTCAGTGTGCTGCTGTCCTTGCCCCTAGCCCTCAGGCTTTCCTTCCTAGTAGAGCATCATTGCCTCAACGCAGCAGCTGGGATTGAAGTTTAGAAATAATAGGACACAGACCAGACATTTTCCACAAGGACATCCTGCTGGGTTAGGTAGGTGCTCGCCCGGATCCATGCTGTACCTCTCACCAGGTCTGAGTCCATCGTCCCTCACTGCAATCAGGTTCCTTGTTCATTACGTGGAGGCTTTGGCTACCAGTTCCTGGGGTGCGGTCTAGGGGATGCAGTTTCTGCAAACCTTTATGGAGTCTATAAAATGAAGGGTCTGAGACTTTGAGAAAGACAGAATCCAGGGCTCTGGTTAACAGAATAGCGAACAATACTCCAATGTCTGTTGGGGACAGCACTATTTCTGAGATGGGCTGAAAAATGTTGCACTTGGTATAATAGAAAGTGAACCTTCTCTGACCATTGGGGGGCAGGCTTACTCAGAAGTTCCTAGAGGAATCAGATAGTAAAACTTGATTGGCAGAGAAACTAAATAAAGGAAGTAGACTTTTAAAGTCAGACCTGGATTTGAATCTAGCCTGTGTCGCTTGCTGGCTCTGTGAATTTAGGCTGGTTACTTCATCTCTTGGAGCCTCAGTTTCCATATTTAGAAAATTGAAAGAATAACAGTATCTATTGTATAGGGTGGTGAAAGTTAAATGAGTTAATTCAAGTAAAAATGCTTAGCATAGTGCCTGCCACATAGTAGGCACTTAATAAATCATAACATAGTATCATTATGTTACCTTCAAAGCACTTTGGTTTTAGTCTGCTAATGACTGATCTCCCTAGGGAAGCTGAGGCAGTTGAACAGTTAAGATGTAAATAATATCTTACTCAAAATCTAACAAATCTGAGAATTCTTTTGATACCTTCTCTCTGGGTTCTGGGATTTATAGACCTGTATGAAATTGCAAAGTTGCGTTGCATTTTGGTACTTTGTTCCAATTGGGCTTCATCCACAAAAGTCCATAAAAGGGCATTTCAATCTCCCACGTAATTGCTTGAACACAGATCTGTGCACTGTCAAATGCTCTGACCACTGTCTAAGGTGGTATCTAAATTTAAAGGAAGTTTCTTCTTGCAAACATGGAAGGACCATTTCTAAGTCCCCCATGTGACCTTGCTGTGGAGCAGGGGGCTGGGGGAAGGGAAATGTATGGTATTTGTGGATAGCCTTGTTTGCTTCCAGACCCTGCTCTCACCAAAAGAGAGACCAGAGAGCCAACACCCAATATGAGTGCTTGTGACAGAACAGCCTCTTATGACTGTGTGCACTAACACTAATACCTACACCAACACTGATATTAATACTAATGTCAATGTTAATTCCAACTTCTATCACCTGTAGATGCCACTCTGTGCCAAACCCTGTCTCTTTTGACAGAAAATTGAGGTTCAGGGAGATTAAGTAACTTTCCTGAGCCCAAGGATATACAGCAACTAGGTGGCAGTTTGGGGCACAAACCCAATTATGATTGATACTAAAACCTCAGTTCTTAACTAGGACGCTGTTCTGCTTCCCACTGTGCAATGTGGGGGGAAGATGAACACACACAAAAACACACATATACACACACACACCACTAGAGCTGAACTCTCGGAATACACCATTTGTCCTGGAATTTGGCCCATTTCACTCATAAGCTTGTTTATGGCTGCTTCTTTGGGAATACCTGTAGAGAAGGTATATTAATTACACTGTAATGTGGTCTTGATACTCTCATCATACATCATTTTTACTCTAAATATTATTGTTATGAGTAATAATAGACCTATTCTTGGCAATAGACCTAGCTTTGAATATTTCTTCTATTGTTAATTGGCTGTGGGACCTTGGGCAAGTTAGCATTCTCAGCTGTAAAAGGGGGATGGTTATATCTTCTTTACAGAATTTTTGTCAGAATTTTAAAATTATATAACTTGTACCTGGTGGAGGCTGGGTCCACAGTAGACAGTCAACAAATATTCATAGATTTTATGCTTTCCTATTTAAGGGCAAAAACAGGGAGCTGGAATCCAAGTGATATTCGAGTAACCCCTTCCTCAAGCATTCTTAGGAAACAACAAGCACAGTAGAAACAGTATATATCTAGGAATCAGAGCTGAATTAAAACCCAAGCTTTATTATTTACTGCCCTCATGAGATTAGGCAAGTTGCTTGGCCTCACTGAGCCTGTTCCTTCATCTATAAAGTGTCTTCTTAAGAAATACACATATATATATTTCTTATATATATTTTATATACTATATATAGTACATAAAAATAGGCCCTCAAAAATACTAGCACCCATCCTCATCCACCCACCTTCATCAACCACCTTTTCCCTAATCATGGCTCTGTATAACTTTCAGTTGTTTCCAAAATTTCAATTCCCTTAGGAAAATTTTGCCATTATTGAGGATGGTCCAAAGACTGTGCTGAGTCAATGTCAAAGAACAATTTCCATAATAGTTTGAGGATTAATGGCAGTATTTGGGGGGAAAAGTGAATAGTCTCCCCAGGGAGATGTCAAAGAGGGCCAAACTTATTTGAAAGTAACAGTTCTGGTATTTGAAAAAAAATCAACCATATTAACTCTAACCTCCCTCATAAAATGGAGTATGACAATATCGGAATCAACTCTGGATGCCTGTTCCGGACATATTTTATACCTCAGGGCATCTTCCAACAGAGGAACACATAATTTTCCTTTTAAAGTGCTCATATTTTCATTTGCCCAGAGCTGCAATGAGTGATTTGTGGTTACAATTTTGTTTTGCCTACAGTGCAGAATGAGGTTACCATTTAGGCAGCTGCAAAGCCCAGGAATCATTTCAAGTCATTCCTTTGGTAGGGAGCTGATGACTAATTTTCAAACCTACATTTTCACAGATTCTTTTCAGTTAATTTGCTATTTACTGCATATTAAAAACATAAGCATTCCATGATAGTATAGTAAAACTAAAAATAATGAATATAAAACAGGCCAATATTCTGTGAAAGTTAACCATTTTCCCCAGGCTAGGTGATTGCTTAAAATTTTTCACAATCACGCTTTGCTTCTTCAATGAAACACTTTTTAAAACAAGTGATTTCTCCTCAATGTTTTGTTTCAAAATATTCTCATTAAAAATATCCCATAACCAAAAATAAAAGTCAAGATAACATAAAGGTAAATGAGAATCACTTTGGTGAAGTTGACAACACGGTGAAAACATTTCTGGCATAGCAATGCTACCAATGAGATCTGTCGACACTGAGCGCCATCCCACCCCAGAAAGTCAGTCAAGAACTTAGTAGTCTTAGGACAATTTGCAAGATCTTGCCTTGCCTCAGGTTGGCAATTTGGTAAGAAACCTACCTTCTGTGCGGAGAGAGCCTTGGACCAGGAGCCTTGTGGTCCAGATGGAGGCAAGAAACAACACCAGGCTGAAGTACTTGGCCATTGCGCCAGCCCCTTCAGAGCCAGAGGAGCACCTCAGATGGGCACCAGCAGTATCAGAGGCAGACGATCACCAGTCTGGATGGAGACTTCTGGAAGTAAGTGGGGGCCCACACAGCTCCACTTCATAACTGAGACATCCGGATTTCCCTGCTTTCAAGCTTCTGACTTGTCAAGGTCACTAGGGGAAATGAGTGACGTCCCTTGAATGCCCAGGCTGTACTTTGTGGATGGCTTTCTGGAAAATTTAGCTAATGCTGACTCAGAAAACACACAAACGAGGAAGGCAGATAGCACAGGGTGAACTGCTGAAGGTTTCCCCAATTCCCATATTCCCTGCCACCACCTCCCTCCCCCGCCAGCTCAGTTCTTGGTTCTTACCGGTTTGTTGTTGACTGTGGAGCCCGCTCATTTATGTACTCTTAGGAATGCCTCTGTCTCTAAAGGAGACTGAGCATGGATTGTGCCGCTTTTCCTCCCACTATCAGTGGGTTTTTTTTTTTAATTTCCGACTGCATATCCTTGTGATCTGTGGGGGAATGAGGCTGAGGCTCATGAAAATGAATGATTATTTAAATACCAAGGACAGAGTCCTCATGCTTCCCTTCAGGATTTCTTTATATGTTTGAAATTTCTACCCCGCTACAAGTGATTCCTGCTTCAAAGAAACCAGACACATTAAAATTCATGCAAAACATGACTAGGGGGGCAATTTACAAAATCAGTCATTTAATACTTTACAATAGTGGTCACCACAGGGGTCCTTTATATAATAACTCTCTCTTTGATAACTTCTCATATTCTGGTAGGTGAAAATTCAATTTAGACTTCCTCTTTTTTGTTTGATGAATGTGAGATTTATCTGCACTGTGCACAAGCAGTCTGCACTGTTTCCCCTGCTAGAGTTTCAGTGGTTTATCTTCCATGGCAATTATGGAATTCTGGCTTGAGAGTAATGCCTTGGGCAAAGGGTTATTAGTTTTCTCCAAAAGGAATGTCATTTATAGGAATAGTGTATGGATAACTAGTTCTTTCCCGTACAAAAGTTATTGGTCATAAAGTTAGATATTGGTGTGGAAGATACCAATAATGAAAGGAGAATCTGCTCTGCACAAACATAGAGAACTTGTAAGGGACCAGGGGAATATCCCTTAAATAGCTGTAGTTTAGACCTCATTACTTAGGTGAGCACAAGACCTAGGCTACGGGGACCTCAGAAATATACATGACTCCTCTATCACCATGGAGCCAGAGAGACAGGAAAGCAGAAATTGTGTTCTCTTCGTCATTATACTTAAAGCTAACATCACACCTGAAAGACAGTTAGCCTTCAAGCATTTGCTAAAGTATTACAAAAAGGAAGAAGGAAGGAAGACAGGAAGGGAAAAAAAGAACCAGAAAGGGTCTCCCTACTGAAAGTCAACCACACCATGTAACATAACAGGAATGATGTCTCACGTTCAAAAGTTCCAGGGATTGGGGTAGGGGGTACATCTTGAGGGGAGGCATTTTAGAAATTTTGCCAACCACAGTTACCTACCTTTGATTAGATCCCGATTCTGCTTTCTAGGAGAAACTCTCACGTCCCATGTCCACCTGCATTGGATAGAATCTTCCTTGGCCACATTTGTGGCGGGAATTAGGGAGTACAGGCTCCTTGGGGGTAGCACAGCTTGTACAATCTGCTTTCTGCTGATATAAGCTTAGGATCCCAAAAGTTGTTTTCTAACTTAACAATCAGAGGAGTTTTTAGTCCTGGCTTGTATCTCTGTACAATAAATACAATTCCCTCACAAACTTAGGTTTCTGATCTATTTGCTTCCATTTGATTCCATGTACAATAATCACACCCCAAATCCTTTCCCAGTCACAATTCTCAAGATGTATTTCTTTTTCTCAGCCCTATGCTCCCCCCTCTCTAATTTAGTGGTGGCTACCCTGAGTTCATTAGAAACCACAGATGAAAGGGCCATATTCTTAATCTGGCCTTTACCATAGGGCTGCTCTGATATTAATTCAGCTGAAAAGTTTTATTGCTTCTTTTTCACTCAAGCTCTTCTCAGTCTGGTTGGGGTTTAGAAGGAGTCAGGTTTTCTAAGCCTCAATCTAAGAACTCTATATCCTCTTTCCTTTCTGTTTCCAAATAGCCATTTCTTTCCCAAGTACTTCTTTTTCTTGCAGTACCTCTCAAAAGGCAGCCAATAAAGGTTCACACACTTTCCAGTCGCTTCTCCTAGAGCTATAGGCTGCCCATGGACTATCTTTCAAGTTACCATGGGTACGATTTTACCAAATATTTCTGTTTTCTTCATAACACAGGTCACCATATTTCTAGTCCCTGATATCAGTGTTCTGGTTTCCTGCCACTTGACTGCTAAGCCGGGGTCTCATATTTTGAAAATTTGTTGTTGAAGTACCCTGTTTCTGGTTCTGTATGCATTAGTTGGGGCAGGCTAATGGCTATAACAAACATTCCTGAATTTCAGTGGCTTAATATACTAAAATTTTATTTCTTGCTCATGTCACAGCTGAATTCTGTGAGCGCCCATTCAAAGACTTGGCTTCCACCTGGTGGTCCCACCAACTTCTCGGGCCTCAGGTCCTCAGCTGAATGCTCTGAATTTGGCAGGCAGAAGGGGGAATATAGAGGATATAAAGTACTGGGCAGGAGAGTCTATGTAGGAGATTGGATCTGGAAGGTCCGCATTCCCTTGCCCCTAGCTGCAAGAAAAGACTAAAAAATATAACTAGGGACTTCCCTGATGGTCCAGTGGTTAAGACTTCACCTTCCAATGCAGGGGGTGCAGGTTCGATCCCTGGTCAGGGAGCTAGGATCCCACATACCTCTTAGCCAAAAAACCAAATCATGAAACAGAAGCAATATTGTAACAAATTCAACAAAAGACTTTAAAAATGGTCCACATTGAAAAAATCTTAAAAAAAAAAAAAAAATCTAGATGTGGAAATCAGACTGGTGAATACTTAAGAGTCTCTATCACAGCGAAATGTATGAATTAAAACAAAGAAACAAACAAACAAAAATGTAGGCCAGGAAGATACAGGAAACTAGGATCAGGAATGAGGACTAGAAGGAGAGGAACTGATCCAGCCCCTGGGAGGGAGCCCATAGTGACCCGAGGGCTGGGGACTTCTGGGAGGCACTGTTATCCAAAAGTAGATTCTAATTCAGGGTTGGGCAAGGTTGTGGCCCAGCTCCACAAAATGAGGAGGCATTCAGCTGCTGCCAAAGGTTTGGAAATGTGCTTTTATTTTCAAACTCAGGTATGTGACACTCTATATTTCAAGGCTAGCACGCCTGTGTGAGGTTTAACAACGTTAGGAGCCGACAGCCAGTGACACACAAATCCAGCTTCTCCCTCTCCACTTACACCTCCAGGCTGTACACAGAGAGCAATACAGAGAGTCCTAGGGCCAAGCAGAAATGTCAGACCTCAGAGGCATTTTGAAGGGAACTTTTATTTCAGATCAATATCACTGTTGGAAATACAGGGCCTGTTTCTGTCCATTTCACTGCCGCTTTGGCAACAGTTCCAATTGCCTCAGGTCATCTTTGCTTTTCTTGGAAGAATTACCGGGAGTCCTGTTTCAGGAATGCCCTTGAAAACGTGGTTACTCTTTTGTTCCTTCTCGTCCTCAACCTCCCTTTACTCACAGAGTCGTTTGGCTGAGGGCCTGGTCTGGAAGCATTCTTGCAGGCCTTTCTGTGGAGCAGCTGGAGGGTCAAGAGCTCACTGCAGCTCCTCTCCTGGCCTTTGTCTCAACAGGAAGCAAAGGTGGGAACCCTGGGACCAAGTGGGCAATGGGCCAGCTCAGCCTGGTCCTTCTTCACGGGAAGCTGAGACTGGATGTTGCCAGCCTAGAGTCCTGCCCCACAGCCAGCCTCTCTGGAGTGCCATTTGTATCCTGTCTTTGGCTTTGAGGGCCTCAACGTCCTCCAGTGTATCCAGTCGCCCTGGAAGAGGCAGGGCAAACCATCCATCCATGCAGCCAAAGTCCGTCTGCCATGATCTGCACCTCTTTACCTTAATGGCACATCCTTGGTCAACCCTGGCTTGGGCTTCTCTCACAGTGGTTTTCTAGCCACTGGAAAGGATGCCTCCCTTAGAACAACAGGTTGCTTTTACAGTGGGGCCTAACCTAGGTGGGTCTTTCCGAAAGGAGTGGTTGCATCAAGCCTAGCCCTTGAGCTTGGAAATGTTGTTGCTAATCAGGTCACAGAGTAGACTGAAAAATACTGGAATAAGTCGAGGCTAATAAAGATGTTATTTTTTTCGTTGAGTTGCTGGTGGTGATGATGCTGGTGTTGGGAAGTATGCAAAACGTCAGCTGTTCCCAGACTGCTCTCCACTCCCTTGAATGCTCACTTGTTCTTTTGACCAACATTTAATGATACCCTCCCAAGCATCGGCCACCATGCTAGGCACTTACCCAGAGAATGGGTAAGACATGGTTCTTGTCTTTGAGGAAAAATGCTAGGAAAGGCAGACACATAAATAAGTTATTCTGATACACTATAGTAATGGTCATTAGTAGTAGTAATGAAAATGTTTAAAAAGTGCCAGGAAGCACAGAGAAGGGTGTGACCTATTATGTGGGGCATGGTGGGGAGTTGGAGGGAGGCCATTAAAGGTGTAATGGAGGGGATGATTTTTGCACTTGGTCCTGAGGAGTGACCAGAAGAAAAGAGGAGAGCGGCAGAAGAAAAACTAGTGAGAGAAAACAATTTAGTCTGGGAACCAGAAATGGCTTGGAGTGGCTGAAGGGCCACTCAGGGGAGTGGGACTGGAATGTAAGATGTCGAGTTAGGAGGCCTTTGGAAGAATCAATTTAGTGCAGGGGTTGAGAGCACAGCCCCTGGGGCCAGCCTGGCTGGGTTTGACTTCCAGCCCCATGATTTACTAACTGGGTATCCTTGGCAAGTTACTTTGCATGTTTTGTGCTTCAGTTTCCTTATCTGAAAATGGGAAGAGTCACAGTTTTTTTCTTTTTCTTGAGGACTCATTGAATGAATCCCTATATAATACCTAATACAGTGTTTGGCTCATAGTAAGTTCTATATGAGTGTCAGAAACAAAAACAAATGTCAACAGCAAAACAAAAACAACAGCAAAGCCACCACCATAAAACCCACACAGAAACCAGCGCCCCCCAGAAATGATGAGGCAAGAAGGCAGGTGGCAGCTGTCAAGGTGGAGTGAGAAGTCCAGCTGGAGGTGGGACGCACTCTGTTTTCTGCTAAACAATGGGAATGCTCTGAGACCTACACTTTGGTTGGAAATGCCATTGAAACTGGAACACTGCAGTGGAGATGCACACTCGCATGTGGGCACAGCGAAGCTGAAAGTGCATCGTGTCTCCTCTTTCCCCCTGAGAGGCGGGTTAACTGCTCTCAACCAGAGAGAACAAAGAGGGGATAGACTGTGCTCTACAGTAGCTCAGAATTAGCCCTGGAAATGGAGACCAGCAAGTTCGCCATGGAAGCCATGAGTTTTCAGTGTTTCTCAACCATCTTAAGCCCACGTAGAAAGCTCACTGAACAGGTGCCTGGTGGCTGCCCCACACCTAGTGAAAATCTGTGGGTTGGCTTTAACCCTAACACATACCCAGAGCACACGTTTGGAGGGTAGGTGGCTTCATGCATGCGTGTGCTGTGTGTGTGTGTGCTCTATGTATGTGTACAGAGGAATATATGTTCATTTACATCTTCCCACTTCATTTCAAGCACAGAGCTAAAAAGCAGCCTAAACGTTTTTCTGATAAACCTTTCTGACTTCTGTAAAGAGAAACTCTGATTGCAAAGGGGAGAAGGGAAGGCTGAAGGAGAGTCAGTAAGAATGAGATGGGAAATGGGAAGATATTCATGTGAGACTCCAAATTCCAGGTCTGACCCTTGGGGGCAGAGTTAGCCTTTAGACACAATCCTTCCTGATTTCCGATCAATGGCAGAGAGGAAAATGGGGAGGGGGAGGGGGCTTCACACTGTAGCCTATAAAGAAGGTGTTTTGTTTCTCCCCAGCCATCTGAGCTGGCGCAGGCAACTGTCCCTTCCGTTGGAGTTCCCTGGTGAAGGCCACTTCTTTGTCCACTGATGCTTTTTGTTGATCCTCCAAGAACATCAGTTACTGTGTGTGAATAGCTCCCATAGGGGTGCCGAGTGTGAAAGAACCCCTGCTTGGTCCCCTGACGGCCGCAGCGGTGTGCCCATGCCCAGGCCTGACACATCATGCTTGGGGAGAGGGCAGCAGGCTGTGTGCTGGAGCAGGGCACTGGCTGGGTGTCGGGTTTCCTACTGCTCTGTAGGCTGCTCATGCTGGAGTCCTGAGCTCCACCATGAGTCCCTTTGGGCTGCCGAGCAAGTGGATTTCCCAAGGGGCCCGTCGGCCTGCTCCACACAAGAGTTATAGGAACCGTAGAGCCCCAGCACAACAGTCAAGACCAGCATTGCTGCGGCCATCATCCAGACGACTTGCCAGTGCCGACAGAGTTTGGGATACATGACTTGTAGGAAATGAACCAACTCTTCAAGTTTGCTGTCAAATGAAAAACATAGGTGGAGGGTTTAGTATGTTGGGCACGTATACGATGCCCAGAACTTCCATCTGGAATACTCTCCATGTTGTCTTGAGCCGTGGTTCTCAAACTCAGCTGTGCATAGCATTGTTTGGCAGCAATGATTCAAAATACCCCAGGTCTACTGAATAAGGGTCTCCAAAGGTATGGTCTAAGAATCTACAGTTTAAAATTTTTCCCCAGGTGATTTTGATGCCACCAGTCTATAGCCTTTATATTGGGAGAGTCTAGGCTAGAACACTCTACTTATTTGTGTGATCATTCATCCATTCACACATGCCCTCATCTACTCATGAGATGGTCATTGATATCTGGACTCCCCCAAGCCCCAAGATACCAGGTTGGCTGACCCATTCTCCCATGCAACCAGACAGGACCAACAGCTTTTCTGCACTTAGCGGTACCAGTGATCAGTTCCGAGTTCTAACCTGTCCCCCGCCTCCATGTTCAGACGCCTAATTTGTTGTCCTCAGTTCCACATCTGACTGTATCTAGAGTGGAAGGACTGTGATAAACTCCTAGAAGACTCTCAACGTCAAGTAATAAATTACTGGACAAGTAATTCAAGGAACCAGATCAACCTCAAGAGCTCACTTCAAACTGTCCCGGGGCCTCCAGCAACCTCTGGGTGACTTATTCAAGACGTTTTCTCAGTCCTATTAATCTTCATTCCCAAATAACCCCTCCTCCACTTTCTCTGCTCTCTCCACACTTTTCTCTTCCCTCTCATCTCTCTCTTTTCTCTCTTCCCTCCTTCCCTTTCAACCCTCCCCCTCTGTTTTTTGCCTGCTTCACTCCACTTTTCCCTCTTCCTCTTTTCCCCACTGCCTTTCAATCTTTCCACTCTTTTTTTGTGGCCCCTTGAAAAGACATTTGGTCAGATGGTCTGCTTTGAAGAGTCCATTCTTAGAGCTCTCTGGAGAAGCCTTGGACACATTCATTAAGCTAGAATTTCTTCCTGTTTCTAATCCCGGATCTATTTTTAAAAATAACAGTGAGAATACTGAGGATCACCAAATGAAAGAGGTGAGAAAAGGGACATGAGGTCTTTCTGAAGATCCTGAGGTTCACACAGACACTGAAATATGCAGACCATTTGCTGAGAAGCAGAGAGCTCTAATTCAGAGAGCTAATAGCAGATTAGCTATTCTCTCTCTCTGCTATTCTAATAGCAGAGAGCTAGGTGCCTGACAGTGGTACAGAGACGCAACACATACCCTTCCGTAGAAAGGGATCAGATGCTCAGAGTGCCTGCCTTGGATGCTAAAGCACTGGTTGGTTTCTCTTCCATGTGGGACCCACTGATGATTGTTTCAGGAACAATTAAGCAAAGCAAAACAGTGAGTACGTGAGCTGAGGTGAAAATCATTGGCTACTTTCACAACTGTTGGGGAGAGAGAATTTGGAAGTGGAAGCTTAGTTTCTTTCAGCCCCATTTAGTTTCTTTAATTTCTATTCAGATACAACTGGATGCTAAGACACAGTCTCTCTTTTGGGCTGTATTTCTGTGTTCCAAAACAAGCTGCTGGAGCAGGGAGAATCCCACTCTCACCCCATCCTTAAGTGGGCTGGCAAAGGAGGAGGGCAAGATCTGGCTTCGTGACCCTTAGCTGGTTACCCATTTCCAGCCTACAAAAGCTGTTAGAAATGGAATTAGATTAGAAATAGAATTCCTTTGGAAATCAATTTTTGGTTGTTCTGAGGTCTACCTACTCCTCCATTGGGAAGGGTGATGTTGCTGCCCCCTCACCTGGGCCTGGAGAGAGGGGCTTCGGAGATGCTGCTTGGCGAGCTCGATATGTTGTAATTTGGGGGCACAGTGAGTAGACTGTGTGTGACTCCCACCTGAGAGATGTGAAGAGTGAGAATCTTGCTGAACTGTTTGGTGGCATCAGAGCAGGGGGCCACGATACGGAAAACCATCCTCCCACCACTAGTGGGTCAAAGGTGCATATTTCACAGTAACTGGATGTAGTCAGGAGAAGGAAGGCTGGCATGGGATGTCATAGACCCTGCCCGGAAATGCTACCTAGAAGCTGAGCGCGGAGGGTATACTTCCAGCTGCCCAAGGACTGAGAGAGGGATTTTAAGTAGCTGGCCAGAAGAGCTGCATTCGACCTCATAAGGGGACCTGCAGTTGAGAGATCCTCAGAAATGGTGTGAACATGTGTGAGCTGGGGGGTGGGAGGGGTGCTTTTCTCTGAAGGTCCCATAAAACACCACACTGAACAAAATCAGAAGGTCAACCTTAAATGCCTGCTAAGGCCTGGAACCCGCTCACAAGAAGACCAGTCAGGTAATACCTTTCCTACCCTTGATCTCCACCCCCTTTCCCAACGTTAGCTCTGGAGAGGTCAGGCGCTGCATTAGCACAGCTGGGGTGGAAGGCGGGAGTGGCAGAGAGCAAGAAGTCAGCTCTGTCTCCACTATAGGCTTCCTTCCTGAAGCAGAGTGGAGCAGGAGGCCAGGGGGTATGGGGAGAAGTTCAGGCTTTTGACTATTTCAGGGAACTGGCCATTTTCATTACTGAAATGAGGTTATTCTTGGGACTTAAACTTGACCAGAGGACTTCTATTTTCTGAGAGTTATTGGAAGAGTAAAGGAGTCTGCCTAATATCATCTTAACCCCAAAAAGCCAGTGTGAACAGACAGTGGGAGAAAAGACAACAGTTCCCTGTTGCATCTTATGAGTCTCACTTGTTCCATGCATTACCTAAATGTCAGAAGACTGTGTTCTGTGTTTTAATATGGTTAAGATATTGGGTTGATTCACCCAAAGTCCACTTAAGCTGATCCTCCAGAAAGTAATATTGACAACAGATTATATTATTACATATTATTATAATAGAGGAGAGATTCAGATAAAAAGACTCTGGTGTTTGATGCTGAATCTCTTAAATAAGGGGCCAGCTGCTGGGGTTAGCTCAGTGTTTTTAAAATGCACTAAGTAGGACATGGAACTTTTAATAACCTTAGACCTTGCTTGTTAATGAGATGCCAAAATTTCATGGGGGGAATCATGCTTGAGCACAGGTGCCTATAGGCAACTGTGTATGTAAGGGATTTGCGAATGAATGGATTGCCTGGCACTGAACACAACAGCTCTCGGGGCTAGTCTGGCTTTGGTGACAGGTGAGGAAGGGACCCTGTAACTGTGGGTGGGCAGTTTCTATGATAGCAGTGTCTGTCGTTATAGAGAAGATGATGCCACGCTGCTGGGCCTGAACAGGTGAAGCTACACCATGTGCTGAAGGCCGAGGACCCATCTCAGGGCTGTTCTGATGCCTGGTATCCACCACCTGAGGTACAGGCATGTTCATAAGACCAAGAAGTGAATCTGAGAGGGAGCAGAAGCTGGGAAAGAGAACGAGGCCTTTCAGTATCCTCAGCAGGACCAAGAGGATACTCTTGGACAATGGATGCAAAGGGCGGCCATTGCCATGTGCTGCTGACCAGGAGCTGGACAGAGGGGAAGCCAGGCACAGGCTCACTTCCTCTGGGATTTCATGAAATGGGAGGGACAATCTCCCAAGATCAAATTAGCTAGATAAGGATTCCAGCCCTGTGCTTTGTAAACCAGACTGTTTATATTCCATGTACTCTCTCTGTTTAGTTCTCTTTTGTTCTTTCCTAGTGTTTGGAAGGGTTAGAAGTCCCAGCCTGTGTTTCTGTTTTGAAGGGAGCCAAAGAAAGGGCTGAAGCCCAGGCCTGGGCTTGACTGCATTGAAGGAGAGAAGACAGTCTGGTGGCCTGGAAAACAAGAGCAGAGGACACCCAGGAGGGACAGAAGACCAAGAAGGATAGGAACAAGCCACTTGGAGTAGGGACTGTGCTTTCATTGTGAAAACTGGGCTTCTCTCCTTAGGGGAGGTGGTGTGCCCTTGCACAGGTTTGTTTCCGATAGTGAAGCCCTTTCTCCAGCTCTCCCCTTGAACACTGGGGTTGACTCATGCAGGCTGACACCTCTCACTCTGGTTGAATCTTCCACCAACTAGGCTCTACTGGTCGTTCCTATGTGTTTTGAAGCATGTCCATCTCACTTCTAATCGGCATTTTATTACCTTATTCACTGGGTGCATGTGATTTCCAGAGTCCGCCAGCAATGAGGCACAGACACATACCCTGCCCCAAAGGTAGCCACTGATTAGATTAATTGATTAAGACGCAGGGTCTACATTACCTTTATCTACTGTTACGTATATCTTTCATGATTTAGTGGAAAATGCACTTGAAATATAAAGTATATTAAAAGGAAAAATCCAAGTGTTTCCAAACCAAAGTGAAAACAATGTCCAGACGACCAAACTTGTTTGATCACCATGGAAAGAACCTGTTGGACACTTCCTTTGCCACAAAGTTGAGTTCATCCCCTACCTCCCTGTGTTCTCTCTGTCCCAGCTCCCCTCTAGGGCTTCAGGCCAACTTCCTTGAACTTGGCTCTTTCATGGGAATGGTTGGGCAATGAGCTAACTGTGGTCCCTCGCATTTTCTCAGCTCCTGAGAACTGCTGGTTGCTGCCGGTCCAGCCCTTCACAACCCCTGACCCCTCAGCTCTTGCAAACATCCTCTTATTAACTATTTGGGCTCTTTGGGATTTCCTTTGCCTCCTCCTCCAACATGAGTGCCCTCTTGGTTTCTGTTGGCTGCTCACTCGGGCCCTAGACCCACAACTGCCCTGGACTGGCACCTCCAGGGATGTTGTGCAATGAAATGCATTGGGACCCATTTCAGCAATGGCGAGGGCTCCAACCTGCTTCTCTGCTCCTTTTCCTCTTCTTCAGTTTCTTCTTCCTCTTCAGCTTCCTCAGGGCTCTCGGTCTTCTGTTCTTCTTCCTCCTTCAGGTCTTGAAGCTCCTTGGTCTTCTTTAGACCCTCCTGGTATCTGGGAGGCAACAACGAACAACTGAGTCTGGAAAGGCCAGGGGCGGAGCGTCCTTTCCTGAGTTGCTAGAGGAGGCACTGAGCATCTCTGATGATTTCACACTCCCTTCCTGTGGCTCCACACAAGAGGAAAAAGCTGGGAAGTCCCACCGCCTCCTATGGTGGCTCCTGTCAGGATGATTTCCCCTCACCCCTCAGCCATTCTTCCTGTTTATGTGAAAGTGTGACAAAAGAGACAGGGAAAAAATATGGGTGCAGAGTCTCCTGGCTGGATTCTTCTACAAACCATTTGGGAGGGCTAAGGACTGTGTGGCCTTGGAGCCTCAGCTCCTCCCCTGTAAAAAGGAGAGGCTGGCACTCATTGCACGGATGTTGGAACATTTTGAGGAAGTGCCAGGTATATGGTTTGACCTGGGGAAGGTGACACCTGTCACACAGGCTTGTTGGGAAGCTTTGTGAAAGTGAAAGGCACACAGGTTCACAGTAAATGTTCACAAAGCTGATGGAAGCATTCACTCCCCTGCATTCTAAGTACAGAGGACAGGTGTGGGTGAAAAGACAGGCTTTCCAAGAGAAACCCTCTGACTTCCTTCTCCCAGGTTTAATATTACCTTGAACATACTTTTTGCTTGTCCTACAGCTGAGTGTTTAAGGCTAGCACAGTTGGGTTGGGGCAACCCCACCACGGTGCAGGTGGCCACCACACCGAAGCCCACAGGTCCCACGTCAGAGGGAAGCTGTATCTCCCTCAGGAGCTACTGGGAAAGAAGCTCAGGATGTGGTACCTGGACAGAGGTACTTCTCTACCTGGCTTAGCTGGGGCCTTGCTCAGTATTCTGCCTCATCAGTGACTAACAACGAGCCAAAAGTGCGATTGAAGCTCAATTAGAGAAGGGGCACTGAAAGTTAGGGGGCTCCTTTGACAGGAAGAAGGGATGGCTGAGGCAGTTCCAGGAAGTGGGGCTGCAGCTGCTCCTGGGCACTGCCGGCAGTGGCGTGACTGCTCTGGGCATGTGTCAGGAAGCCTCAGGCACCACCAAGAGGAACCCACCCAGGGCCCCTGATTTCCAGATCATTCTGGTGGCTTTCTGCCTAAAAAAGAGGGCAGCCTAGTTATTATCTACCACACCCTCTTGCCTCGTTTCCTCCTGTCTTTCCTGTGGAACAGTACTGCTCTTTCCTGTGTAGTTCCTTACTCAGGCAAGGAGGTCCCAGGGCCACGGGTTGCTTCCCTAAATCCTCTAAGAGACAGGAAAGGCCCGTGGGAAGGTATCTTTTGAGCAATGTCAGGTGACCTCAGGGCTGCTGAAGGCTGACTCACCCCTTCTTGTATGCTTCTTCCTCCATCCTGGCCTTGGTCTCCTGGCTAAACCCCTCCAGGCAGCTTGGAGTCGGGATGGAAGCAGAGGCCTCACAATCCAGGTCCCCGTTCGTCTTCCCACTAGCAAGAAGAAGGAAGTACAGGGCGTCCTTTCAGGGACAGATGGGACTTCTGAAAACCAAACCATGTCTTTGTCCTGTTCCTGGCCGGAAGTGAGGAAACTCATTCTGGATTGAATTTATTTCAATCTTTCTACCTTAAGATTTTATAAAGGCCTTAGTCCCTGAATCCTCCTTGGGCCCCCAGACATCAAGTACTGCACCAGCTTGCCTTTTTCCTCCTGCTCTCAAATCCACTTTTATTCTTATTCCAGGAGATGCTCTGAGTGGACAGACAGATATTGGGAGCTCCAGGGCACTAAGAGGAGGAAGATGGAGGTGGACCAAACGTTCAGAGTCATCCCATCCCTGTAGTCCATCTTCTGCTTCATTCATGTAAATATCTACCCAGTGCTAAGTCACAGGCACCTTGTAATGTGCTGGGGATACATTAGAAAACAAAAGAAAAGGTCTTTGCCAACACGGAGCACAGCAGGAGAGAATGCCCAAAAAAGGAAAGAAAAAATATGAAATTAATTACAAATTGTGATAACTTTTATGAGAGAAACAAACTCTGTGCAATGACAGAAAATAATGAGGAGAGAATCTGCTTAGTGAGTGGCCAGAAAAGGCCTCTCAGAGATGGAGTAACTGAAGCACAGACCTGAAAGATGAGAAGTCAGCCACATCTATAGCAGAGGGAAGATCCTCCCAGGTAGAGGAGGCAGGATGTGTGAACACCTCGGGATACAAAAGATGCGGAGATGTTTGAGGAACTGAAGAGGAGCAATGAGGTAAGAATTAACTTCTGGACAAGATTTTTGATGCCTGTGAGGTATCCAGGTGGAGATGTCAAGTTGGTAGTTGGATATACCAAAGCGAGTGAGAGAAGAGCTCTAGGCAGGAGATATTCAGAATATAGATGGTATTTAAAGCCAGGGGAATGGATAAGACTGTCTGGGGACATAGTATGAGGAAAATTGAGAAGAGGACCCAGGACCAAGCCACAGGCATCTCTGTCCTTAGTTCAGGTGGAGGAGGAGCCTGTGGAGGAGCTGAGAAGTAGCAGCCACAGAGGTAAGAGGAGAACCCGGAGAGCATGGAGTCCTGGGAGCTGAGAGAGTGTAAGCAGCTCTTTGCAGGAAACTGCCCTCAGCAGGAAGCCCATTTTCTTGTCACTTTAGCAAAGCTATATTGTAATTAACTTTTTTTTTCCTGTGACGATTTTTTTTTTGGAATAACATTTTTTACAATGTTGTGTTCGTTTCCGCTGTAGAGCAAAGTGAATCAGCTATATGTATACAAATATCCCCTCCTTTTTGGATTTCCTTCCCATTTAGGTCACCACAGAGCACTGAGTAGAGTTCCTTGTGCTATACAGTAGGTTCTCATTAGTTATCTATTTTATACATAGTAGTGTATATATGTCAATCTCAATCTCCCAGTTCATCCCACCACCACCCCTTCCCCCCTTGGTGTCCATGTTTGTTCTCTCAAATAGGTTCATCTGTACCATTTTTCTAGATTCCACATATGTGCATTAATATATGATATTTGTTTTTCTCTTTCGGACTTACTTCACTCTGTATGACAGCCTCTAGGTCCATCCACGTCTCTGAAAATGGCACAGTTTTATTCCTTCTTATGGCTGAGTAATGTTCCATCGTATATATGTACCACATCTTCTTTATCCATTCCTCTGTTGATGGACATTTAGGTTGCTTCCATGTCCTGGCTATTGCAAATAGTGCTGCAATGAACACTGGGGTGCATGTACCTTTTGGAATTACGGTTTTCTCCGAGTATATGCCCAGGAGTGGGATTGCTGGGTCATATGGTAGTTCTAGATTTAGTTTTTTAAGGAACCTCCAGACTGTTCTCCATAGTGGCTGTATCAATTTACATTCTCACCTAGAATGTAGGAGGGTTCCCTTTTCTTCACATCCTCTCCAGCGTTTATTGTTTGTAGACTTTTTGATGCTGGCCATCCTGACTGGTCTGAGGTGATACCTCATTGTAGTTTTGATTTGCATTTCTCTAATAATTAGTGATGTTGAGCATCTTTTCATGTGCCTCTTGGCCATCTGTGTGTCTTCTTTGTAGAAATGTCTATTTAGGTCTTCTGCCCATTTTTTGGTTGGGTTGTTTGTTTTTTGATATTGAGCTGCATGAGCTGCTGGTATATTTTGGAGATTAATCCCTTGCCAGTTGCTTCCTTTGCAAATATTTTCTCCCATTCTGAGGATTGTCTTTTCGTCTTGTTTGTGGTTTCCTGTGCTGTGCAAAAGCTTTTAAGTTTCATTAGGTCCCATTTGTTTATTTTTATTTCCATTACTCTAGGAGGTGGGTCAAAAAAGATCTTGCTGCGATTTATGTCAAAGAGTGTTTTGCCTATGTTTTCCTCTAAGAGTTTTATAGTGTCCAGCCTTACATTTAGGTCTTTAATCCATTTTGAGTTTATTTTTGTGTATGCTGTTAGGGAGTGTTCTAATTTCATTCTTTTACATGTAGCTGTCCA